GAGAAAATTCTCTAATTGAATCACACATTACATTGGTCAAACTTACAGGGTAAATTTTTTTTAAAAACTCATTTTGCATTTGCGCCCAAGATGTTTTTGAATTTACCCCTAAAGTATTGAACCAATGCTTTGCTTTATTTTTAAGCGTGAAAGGGAAGAGAAGTAATTTAAGAACTCCTCCGGGACATCTATGTACCTCATGGTGGAATATAGTTCAAGAAATTCATTAAGATGCCTATATGGTTCCTCTTCATCTAAGCCATAAAAGAGTGGACACATTTGAATGGTCTTAGGCTTGATTTCATATTGATTAGCCTCAAAATTAGGCAACACAATGCAAGTAGGTGCATGGTATGCATGAAGATTATAATGATCACGAAGGACCATTGGAGGAATTGGAGCTTGAACTCTGGGGCCATGTTGATTAAGAGGTAGGTTTTGCATGAAACGTGGGTCTAAGTAGCCAAGATTACCCTTTAGATTTTCCATGTGAATGTCTAGAATGTATGATATGACAAGGTCTATTCCCGACTACAAGCAACACACAAATCACAACAAAACAAGTAAGCACTCTTCCTTCGCAACAAATCAACAATCAACAAACTTCCTCTACATACAATGTTCCCATACTCCCATGCTCAAACAATATGCAAGAAAAGTAAATTGCCTCCACGCGGGCTCACGATTTATCTAAGAATTTAAAAACTAGCATCCACACGGCCGACGATTTAACTAAGGGATTGAGTAAAGAAAGTCTCACAAAGGTCTTTTAGCACTTCAATTCCAAATTTATAGCTTAGCAATTTTTTTAAATTTTTAGCACTTTTCCTTGCTTGCTTAGCTCCTTTGCTTGAATGCTCCTTTGCGTGCTTCCTAGCTTAATGCTCCTTGTCAAAGATGAATAAACACAATAAGTAATCAAAAGAAGATTAAAAACAAAGTAAAGACACGATCAAAAAAGTACTAATTCCTAATTGATTCCACAAATACGACGTTGCCTAATCCCCGACAACGGCACTAAAAACTATGGTCGTCGTCCTACCATAAGCTTAAGAGTGTGCATTAAGGCGAGGGCCAAGTTTTACATTTATAGAAGCCACTACTACCTTCACTAAAAATATAGTTAGGGTGATTAAGGATCGTCCCAAGGGATTGGAGTCAAATTTGGTTGTGGAATCACAATTAGGGTTAGTAGGTCGAGTGATCAAACAAATAGTTGGTTGGTTGATTAAACTAAAGAGCAAATTAAACTAAATAATGGAATGCAATAAAGAGTAAGTAAGAGAGAGAGAGATCTTGGGGTTTAGAGGTCACCACCAAACAATACTTTTCTACACCCTTAACAAGTGACTAATGAGGGAAATGTGTGTTACATTATTGATGTGTGTGTGTGTGTTTGGTTGATTCAATTAGCAAGGGTGACCAATTAAGTATATATTGTCTAAGCAACATGTGAAAAACATAATATATCTAACAATTAAGTATATATTGTCTAAATAGCATGTGAAAAACACAATATATCTAGCAAGTCGTTAATCCTTTCATTAAGCTCACAAGCCAAATACACCACAAGGTTAGAGACATATGCTACTTGCATTCAAAAGTATGGAACATCAAAAAACAAGCATGAATTGTCCTCCCATCTAACAACTCTGTTACCACTATACTACAATTAAGCTAATGACATGAAATTAAACTAATTAAGCTAAGGGAGAGGCACAATCCATCAAGAAATGAGCATGAACCATCTAGAAAATTACAAGAGCATTCTATTAAGCACTATGTTTTGACAATCTCTAGATCTATGGCATTAATACACATAGACATGTACCAATAACACAAGAAATAGAGACAAACACATGAACATCTATTTTAGCATACATAGACATATTGATAGAATGAAATGATCAATTGGAAGCATTAAACCACATAAATCATTAAATAAACAAGATCTATATATATAAAAGTGCCAAAACATGTATTACAATACTAATCCCTCAATAATACACAAAATCAAGATGTAGAAAGTATGCTTGGGGCTAACTCTAGCCCCAAGAGGATGTCTAGCCACTCATAGTAATGCTTCTCTAACCCTCAAGGGCTAACTCCATGGTAGAGATTTGCTCCTTGGTTGATGAAGAGTCTCCAATGGTGTCTCTAGCATCCTCCTCCTCTAAGCTTGCTCTCCAAGAGTTCTTACAAGGTATGAGATGATATCATCTAAAAAGTAATCCTTATCCTTATATAGGTAGGTCAAATGACATACAAAATGAGCTGGGGTCGTGCACAAAATATTCCCCAATGATTGGATAAAGGATAACTTCTTGTGAGCTGGAGATTTAACTTTTTCGCACTGGAGGAAGTTCGATCGATCAAATCTTGGACTTGGATCGATCGAATATGGCTGAGATCTATCGAACTGAAGTTGAATCGATCCTCAATGGCAGCGCTTTTTGGATAAAAACAAATCTGAGATATTTTGAAGATATTTTTAGGAAAAGGATAAAAGTGGTTGGTAGGGTAGTACAACTAGATAAGATCAATCATTTGGATAAGGACAAGGCTGTTCGATCGATCGAAGAATGATGTTAGATCGATCGAACTTTTGAGATCTCTGAAAATGTCATCATGGCTCTGATCCATCTTGAAGTGCTGAGATCAATCATGTTGGATCGATTAAACTTTGATCTGAGATCGATCAAAGATGTTGATTTCCACCTTTTTCTTCCTTTTGCTTCCACTTAGCTCATTTCTTTGATTCATCCTAGAATTGTTTCATTTCTGCTCTTATTTGGCTAAGTTAGCTTATTTTTGGCATAAGTGCCTGAAAATGGAAATAATACGAAATCAATCTAAAACGGTAAAGTATGATAGATAAAGGTACTAGAATGCCTAAGCTTAAGGGGTTTAAATACGCACTTTTCAACATTCATCATCGAGACTCTAAAGAAAGAATAGGCGGAGTACTAGAAAGTGGAGGAAGAGGATTAAGTCTAGATTTCCATGGAGGAAAATCTGTGATAAGAGTGGAATTGAGCATAGAATTTACTTCAACTATCGAAGATTCAATATCAAAATCTTCATAATTGAAGTGATTCAGACAAGTTTTTAAAGGATCCTTAGATAAAATAGTTGGGAGTGATTCCTTAACCAACTCATCAATAACATCAAAGAAGAAGCATTCACTATCATCATAGGGATGATGAATAGCATTGAAGATGTTTAGCTTGACTTTCATATTTCCAAAAGATAAATCCATGGCTCCAGTCCTACAGTTAATGCAAGCATTCATTGTGGCTAGAAAAGGACGCCCAAGAATAACTAGAATATACTTTTTGGAATCATGGATCGGTTCTGTATCAAGAACTAAGAAATTAACCAAAAAAAAAAAAAAAAACTTGTACACATTTATGAGTACATCTTCAATAATACCCCGTGGTTGTCTGACAGAATGATCAGCAAGTTATAGAACAACCGACGTAGGTTTTAACTCACCCAGACCTAACTTCTCATACATCGAGTAAGGAATAAGATTAACACTTGCACCAAGATCAAGAAGTGCTCGCTCTATCACATTGTTTCCAATGATGCAAGAAATTGTAGGAGCACCAGGATCTTTAACCTTTAGAGGAGTGTTATACTTAAGAATAGCACTGACTTACTCCACAAGACAAATTTTCTTAGAAACTTGGCTTTTGGATTTTCTCTTGAGAGTACACAAGTCCTTTAAAAATTTAAAGTAGGCTGGAATTTGCTTTATAACATCAAGCAGAGGAAGATTAACTTTGACCTGTTTAAAGACCTCCATCATATCTTGAATTTTATTCCCTTGTTTACTAAAGTGGGAGGGTTCCTTAAAACGTTCAGGATAAGATGCTTTTGGCTTATAAGCTGTCTCAGGATTAGGAGCAAATGAAGAAGTGACTCCACCTTCAACTCCTGTTGTGGATTGTGGAAAAGAACTTGAGGAAACATCCTTAGGATGGGGATTATGAATGATAGAAATAATGGGAACCCTAAGCCTCTCTCTTTCTTCCTGTCCCTTTTCAACTTGATTATCAACCACTCTACCACTCCTCAATGTAGTAATAGCCTAAACTTGCTCATGATGAATACCTGAGGAATTGGTTTCATCAATCATATAAGTTTTCCCTTTCGGGTTGGCTACTGGCTAACTAGGCAGCTTTCCATCCTCTCTTCGAGATAGAGTACTCACTATTTGCCCAACTTGTGCCTCTAACTTTGCTATGGCTTGTGAACGAGAATTTAGAAGTTAGGTATTGGCTTTAAGATCAATAAGAGCATTGAGTACTTGATTCTCAAAAGCAGAATTTCTTGGAGGAGATGGAAGATTAGGAGTTTGAGTAGGTTAATTCCTAAATTGAGGTGGACAATAGATACCAGGTTGATTGAAAGAATTATTTTGTGACATAGAATTGGATGGATTTTGATACTGTCCTTGAGATTGAGGAACAATGGTTCCTTGGCTTTGATTACGCCATGATAGATTTGGATGATCTCTCCAGCCAGAGTTATATGTAGAAGCATATGGATTGTAAGCTGGTCTAGAGAATGTAGCATTCACTTGTTCCTGTGGGATCTCAGATGATTGTCCCATTATAGGGCAAGTGTCAGCAAAATGGGAAAGATTAGCTCAGATGGAACAAACTTCCTTTGGCAAGGCAGTTTGTGGATTAGCAACAGGAGCAAAACCAGATGATAGAATTTGATCAAACCTACAGTTCAAGGCTTTTATTTGAGCGGCTAACTCACTAGATTTGTCTACCTCAAAGACTTCTTCAACTTTATGCATTCTAGGTGAAGACCTAGACCTAAAGGAAGATGCGTGCTGCATTGAATTTTCACTTAGGGCCTCAAACAGTTCCCAAGCGTCAGCTGGACTCTTACGCAAAAAAGCTCCATTACTAGATGCATCAACCATGTTTCTATAAGAATCAGAGAGACTATCATAGAAAATTTATATTAAGTACCATTGAGCAATATCATGGTGTGGACATTTTCTTATAAGATCATTATATCTTTCCCATGCATCATGGAACTGTTCTCCCGGGATTTAGGAAAATGCCATAATTTTTCTTCTCATTTGACAGGTTTTACCTACTGTGTAGTACATTTTCAAGAACTCTTATTACAACATCTCCCGTGTAGATATTAAATTTGGTGGAAGGGAATGCAACCAAGTTCTTGCTTTGTCCTTGAGAGAGAATTGGAAAAGTCGCATCTTGAATAAATCATTGGTAAGAGTGGTCAACTTGGTAGTTGAACATAATTCCAAAAATATATCCAAGTGCATATAGGGATCCTCTGTTGTATACCCATGGAAGGTAGGAAGCATTTGGATCATAGCAGGCTTGATCTCAACATGGGTTGCATCAGCATCCGGAAATACAAAGCATGAATGAGAAGTGTATGCGGTAGGATGAAATGGTCCCTCAATTGTGGTTGTGGAGGGATAGGTGGAGCCCATCCTCCATTACCATTACCATTACCATTGCCATTACCCAGTGCATCACGATTATCAGTCATATTATCAGAGGAACTTCCTATTGTATTCAAATATTTTTTAAGTTTTCTTAATTGGCTAAGAGTTCTCTCTATTTCAGGATCATGCACTAAAGGTTTTGACCGAGAATGACGAGTTAACATGCATTAATTACACTAATCCTAAAAGTAACAAAAATAAAATTTCCCAAGTAAAAGAAAACAGCTAAAACTCACAGAAGGTTTAATAAACCAAAGCTTTTATCCCTTAAACGTCTTTATCCTCACTACTAATTTCCTATACCTAAAAAGAAAAAGAATTAAGGTGAGATATCAAAAAGTCCGAAGATTGGTAAACCAAAATAAACTAATTAAAACTAAACTAAACAACAACTCTTCCTGGTAACTGCGCCAAAAATTATTGTGTGTAAATTTTACCACTCGCAATAGAACGATCCTTATAGGATAGCACTATAGAGAGGGTGTCGAACCCACAGGGAGATGAGAATTTATGTTTAGCCTTTCATTAATTTTTATTGGTTCACAAGTAACTGGTTGAAGTGTTTGATTGGTTGTCATGATTAAAAACTAAAATTAAACCAAAATTAAGCTAAAGTGATCAGAGAGAGAGATCTTAGGGCTTTGATTTCACCACAATCAACATACTATGGTTAATTATTTTAACTCTGAGGATTTAACAAATTATGTTTTAAATCGGATTTTAAAGAAAGATATTTTATAAAATTCAGTTAACTATAACCTATCTGTGGTTAGCATGGACTATCCACTTACCTACTCTAACTACTTTAACAACTTTGTAAATAAGCCATCTTTCCTAAGCATAGTCTATTAAAACATTCTTTTATAAAAACGTTGGAACACCATTATATGACCTCTATTCTTATGTCTGGCAGGGCTCCGCCAGATACTATCCAGTAAGAATAGGTTGAGAATAGAAAACAAACACTTATATCTAAGACAATGTAATAACAATTTGTAATCTATTTAAAGCATTAAATCCAACTGAGTTGTCTCAATTGCTCATAGTCATATAATCAAAAACATAATACACATTAAATAATCCTAGAGTTAAGAACAATCAAACCATAATACTAGATTGGGTTACATCAGTGCTCTAAGAGAGGAATTAGCTACTCATGACGATGTCGGATATCATCTGTGTTGGAGTCATCTCCATCGTCACGGACGACAATTCTCTTCTTAAGATCTTCACCTTCTAAGGTTGTGGAAACCCTAAAAGCCGCCACCACATTATCAGCCTTCTAAAATAATACAAGAAGTCTATCATGGCCTATGCCTTATTTTATATAAGAAAATAAAGGCTTAGGGGGCTTTTAGGTCTTCTGGCCCATCTGGGATGAGATACGACTTGTAAAGAGAGTAATCCCGTAACTTAAATCTGACATGTCATGGAAGGCTTGAGCTTTAGGAACAAGGGCTCTAGCTTTAAGGTTTGGGCTCGAGCTTTGGGAACAAGGCTCGAGCTTTAAGAATTAGTGCTCGATCTTCACTTTGACACTTAGGTAAATTTCTTCAACTATTTTTCGAAGCGTCTTTTTCTTCAACACTTAGAATATTCTTGGGCTTCATCTCTTTTGACATTGCTTGATCCAAGCTTCATGAGCTCGAGCACTAAGTACCAGGCTTGAGCTTTAGATAATGGTACTCAATTCTTGAGGTTAGGCATGAGGCCTTGGGAGCGTGGTTCTTCTATGGAAATCAACTCTTCAAATTCCTACGCCTTGTGCTTAAGCTTGAGAGTCAAGGCTCAAGCACCCTGGGTTAGGCTCGAGCACCTTGAAGGTAAGGCTCGAGCACCTTGAAGGTAAGGCTCGAGCTTTAATGCCCTATTGATTTTTCTTCTTTGACTTGTAGGGCTCGAGCTTTGGATCCTGAATTCTTCCAAACTTCACCATTTAAGCTCTCAATTTGCTCTGGATAACTGACAGTGACTCTGTAAGCTTTGATAGCAGTCTTTTCATCATAAAATTTCAGTTTTAACAGTTTCTCTGGGAAACTACCTATAAACACACATTAAATATAAATCAGTCTAACAATGGATAGAAGTATCACTTTAGGTCTTAACATATGTATATTTAGGGGCTCGAATATGCAATATTCAGCGCTTATCAGCTACACATTGTTTTTTTTTGGATATATGGTTTTGGTTTTATTTGCTATCTATGGATTTTTGGGATTTTGTTATCAATCTTAGATATTCTGCACTTTACACTGCTATATACCATGATTTTTGTTCAGTTCTTAGTTGCACCTCTCATTTATATCATTGATGCATATACTTTGACAATTGTTAATGTGACCATTTTTATACAGGTTTTCAGAAACTAAGTTTGGGGGTGCTGTGATACCCCTCGGATCCGAGACACGGGTTGATCAGGCTCAGGCCCAAACCCGAGGGAATATCAAACAATTAAAGTATTTTAATACGAACACAGATGACAAAAAGAAACAATAAAGATAGAATAAAGCTGAAAGAACTAATAATAATAAAACCCTCCATGTATAACTGAAAATTGAAACTCCAATCCTCCAAAACTTCAAGGTTACAACTTGGGAATCCACTGGTGGACCCCTAACCAAAAGTTCAACTGAAACTAAAAACTGAAAATAGATAATGCTAGAAACATCGAGAGAAGTCCTACGTAATCAGATGAATGTGAGACTGTCCTCGACAAGCACGATTAAGCTCTAAGGCTGGAACCGTCCTGTACCTGAAAAGAATAATGAAGGAGTGGGTCAGACCCACGAGCAAGTTCTAATCTAACTGCAATCCATACAGTGACCCGATACGCAGATACACTGTAGACACCTCACAATATCTATCTAGTCCATACGTACAAATATATCCACACTAAGGGACATTCACTAGTCTATAATAGGGTCTCAACCTGAATAGAAGGCAACATACGAATACGCACCCAAAGGTGGGCATGAGTACCTAAAACTAACAGGGTACACCTCAACCTATTATAACCAGCTACGCATCCACTGCATATACGCACCCTTACCAATGAGTCTGAGACTCAAGCTCAACTCGTGGTACCATAAACATATATATAAAGTCCGTCCAAATCCAGGGTATGCAATTCAAATATTTATTAAACTGACATACAATAAACCAACTAGTTAGTCACTCAACTTATTCAATTGATATGACTTAACTACTATCCGTTAATCCAAGAAGTCATCCAACTTGGTTACAGCTAATCTGACTTAGTCACAATTAGGATTCGATATCTTTCAATCCATTCCATTAATCCATTAGGTTAGGTTTATGCATTTTGAACTAAACCGTCCCTAGTATGTCACCGTCCAATACCGATACATACAATCCTCCACATCCATGTAAATTACAACATATATAATAGTTCAATAATTTACAGACCAAAAACCACCATCCAAATAATTGCAGAAGGAATCTTAACAATCTAGCAATTAAAACCCAGTAGTAATTCATGTAATTGCATCGAAGAATTAACTATTCTAACAATTAACATCCAAAACATACATAGTTCAAATTTGATATAACAATGACCCTATCATGTTTTTAAAATCAGTTCTATAATAATATTATAGTCCAATAAATTGCTAAATTAATTCAAGCGATTTAGTTCCTTCCATCCGGTAACAGCGTACTAAGTTGTATACGTTCTGACCTCTGTTCCAACTCCGGCCAGTTACAATCTTTCTGTTGGGTTTTAAAACTAATTTAAGAGTCATATTTAAGCCTAATAGCATCCCCAAGATTTTATTACAATAATTTGAAACCAATTACAGAGATTAAACGAAGCCATTAAATTAGTATGCTTGAAGAACAACACTGAAAATTAATTTAAGAAAATTTCAGTTCTCTTCCAAACCCTTTGTTCCCCTTTACCACTGAACCTAAGGTTCTTATATCAATCCCAATAACATCCCCATGGTTCATTTACAGAGATTAAAAGCAATTCCAAAGACTAAAGTTACAACAGAGCAACATGCTTAAAGAACAGAAAACTGAAACGAGACATGCATGAACTGTAACAGATTGATTTTCAACATAAACAGATCATTCACATGACATATATTAAACATATATCTTCCAGTTATTGATTGGTTAAACCCTAGAGATTATCTAGGTGCACAGAACACGAGCCAAAGAGAAGGAGAAAGAGAAGAACTTGCCTGTGATTTCAGTTATGAAATCTCGGCGTCGTCTTTAATTTTTCCGGCAATTACTGCAACACTGTCTAGCCTCCTACAACTCCGTCTCTAAACCTTACTCAACCTCCTTGATCCTCTCTGTAAAATTCCCCTCAAGCCTTCCTATGTTTCTCTCACAACTGCTTTCTATTTCTCCCTCTGTATCTTGGGTACGTGACAATGCTTTTGTATTCTAGAACCCTAAATCCATACAATATTCTATTTATATATAGAGACGTAAAATAAACCCTATTGACTGTACGTGTAGAGACAGAGCCCTAATTATAATCCCCATTGGCCCATAACAAAACCTACGTCGTAAAACAGTGTCGGCTACATACGAACTCCATTATACAATTAACACTATAACCTAATGCAAT